TAATAAGAAAAATATTATTTATTAATTCTAGAATCTAAAATATTAATAATTCTAATATAACTTTATTAGTTTATTAGTAATATATAGTACTATTATCTATTTATAGAATACTATTTATATAAGATTAGTAAAGTTATTATTTAGAAGTAAGAATTATAATATTATAATATTAATATATAATTTCTAAATTTATTAAGCTTAAAGAAATCTAGTTTACTAGTCGAGTTACTAATAGAATATAAAGTTATATAACTATATCTTATATTCTATTACTTATATCCGGTATTTCGTATCCCGTAACTATATATATAACTTCTAAAGAAATAGCTATACTAATAAATTTCTTCTAAAATAAGGTAGCTATTTAAATTCTCTAGATATAATTTGCTTATTTCTATATATAAATTCCGGTTAGCTAGTTTCTTTATTTCTTTTTTATCTAGTAAACTAGATATTTCCTATTATTTTCTAGATATTCTTAAATTATATTTTAAATTATAATCAAATTCTCTTTTTTAGATTTAGGAAATAATTTAGTTAAACTATTAGTATTTACTAGTAAAGAAAAAAGAAATACCTTCTTATTTAGATTTAAATAGCTCTTTATATTATTTTCTATTAAATTAGTAAATATATTTATAGTTTATAAGCTTTTTTATTAATAAGTAATAGAATTAAGAAATATAAATATATTTCGGATTAATATTATTATTTTTATCTTTATTATAATATTTATAATAAATTCGTTTTTTCGGTTTTAGATTTATATTATAATATTATATTAATTTAAATAGTATTTTCTAATTATATTTAAAACTAATTTCTTCTAAAATATAGTTATTTAAATCTTCTATTTATTTTAGTGTAATTATTATAGCTATTATAATATTTCTTATAATCTTTATTATAACTTCTTATATATTCTTTTTATAACCCCGAATTATATTTATTAGGCTATTAATACTATTATCTTTATTATAATTAACTAATTTATATAAATAGATTATAAATATTTTCTCGAATTATAATAGTAGCTATATTAAATTATTTCTATAAGTTTTCTTAAATTATAATAGTAATAAATAATTTTTCTAGATTTTTTATTAGCTAATTAATATTATTTCTCTTGGATTTATTACTTTTAATAGATTTTATATAATTAGTTATAGATTATATTCTCTTTTTGTTTATATTTATAATAGTTTTAGAAAATATAATTAAAAAACTAATAAAGAATAATTATTTTCTAGTCTGAAAATTATATTATAAATTACTATATCTAAGTATTCTTATCTAAATCTAGATATATCTAAATTATTAATAATATTAAAATAATATTTCCTTTTTTATATTAATAGAGTATTATTACTTTTTTATATATTTTATTATATTTATAAATAGAAATATTTATAGACTTAAAGTTTATATTTTTAAAAAATATAATCTTTTATTAAAAGAAATAATTCTTTTATAAATTCTCGGTATTAAATAATTTTATTTATCTTTTTCTTCTTTAATAATTTCTTTTATATTTCATTAAATATATTAATATAAGACTTAAAAAGAATTTCTTTATTCTAGACTTATATAATAATTTAATTAAAAAAGTTATAGCTAATTTTAAGTATTTTCTAGTTATATTCTCGGAATTTCTTTAATAAAGCCTTAACGAGCCTACTAATAGTAGTCTATATATATAGGGCATTTTCGAGATATTTTCAGGCTTTATAAATTCGCTTATAGGCCTTAGAAAACTAAAGTCTCCTTAAATACTTAAAGGTTATAAGATAATAAATAATAGTTATGACTTAATATTTAGGGTTAGAGAACCAAAATAACCTAAGTATAATTTAATTAATTATTATTAAAGATTTGCACGTTTTAAAATTTTATTAATTAGTAAAATGCCCTGAGTATATAGACTACTATTATTAGGCTTATAAAGAACTTAATTTCCTAATAATTTCCTGGATTATTAATATAATATTCCGATATAGCTTTAATTTAATTCTTATAAAGAAGAGAGATATAATAAATAATTCTTTTTCTTTTAATATTATTAGAAATATAATAGTTCTTATATATATTTATATATTATTCTAAGAATATAGAAATATTATTTTCTTAAAACTATAGTATTTTAGAAGCTTTTATAAATAGTAAATTTAAATCTAATACTAGTATATATTTACTCTTAGATATATTAATTTTAATAATCTTTTTTATTATAGGTACGGTATTTAGGGCTTGGAAAGCAAGGTAAAAGGTCTCTTATAAAGACGATTCAAAGCTAAGGAAAGGAAAACTAGAATACAGGAGGCTATAAGGGAGTATATATACCCTATAATATGCTAGTCCCGAAGGGGCTTAGCCTTCTAAATATCTCTAGTATATTCCAAGCCTATTTCCCTAGTAAGGCGGCCGCGTCACGTGCGTCTAGGAGGTAACGGGATATAGGTAACGGAATATGGGCAATTATATTAGCTAACTATATTAGCTAATAAAGTCAAAAGCTAAATTATAATATTACTTCCCTCTTTAGAATAAGCTCGTCCCCGAGCTTTATAAAAGCCATTAATCTATCTAATTTCGTATTATTTTCCTTCCTAAAGTAAACTAGTATCTCGAATATAAATATTACATGCAAAAGGCCGGCGCCTTTACTATATGACTTAGGAGGGTTTATTATTATTTCCGTATAGTTCTAGACAAGTATTATTTTTTATATAGTCTAGCTAATATTACAGGTTTTATAAAGGTCCTAGTATATTAATATTATTATTATGGAAACTCTATAGAACCAGGGGGCTATTACTTAGTACTAAAGCTAGATATTATACTAGATCCTTATCCTAACTAACCTAATAAATTCTATACTTTAGCCTATTTCTTACTAGCTTAACTATAATAACCCTCTTAATACCATACTCTTATTTGCTATTCTCTAGTATTAATAGGGGCGGTTCCGGGTTTGCTTAACCTAACAGAGAATTCTGGGGGTCTTTTTATAGCTTCTCTATATAAAAAACTAGGTATATCTTTATGATTTCTGGCAGTTTTAGGAGAAACAAGTAGCCATACTATTCTAGAATCTCAAACGGGCCTTTTATTTAGTTCCCTAGCTTCCGGCTCGGACAATTAGATTTCTAGTACTTTATAGTAACCCATATCTTATTCCCGACTTTGAAATTAATCTAATAGCGGTATTTATTAGCTTATACTATATATTATTCTTATACTTGCTCTATATTACCTTAAGCAAGTTACTATAATTCATATAATTAATTTACTAATACTTTAGCTTTATTCCTATTTAGTTTCTCTTTAAGTAAGTTAGCTTTAATAGGAAAGTTCTAGTCTAGAGAGATATGAGGCTCGTAGCCCTTTTTAGTTATAAACGGGAACTAGCTAATAGTTTTATACTAAAGAAAGGCTTATTAATAATTAATTATAGTAACCTATTTATCCCAGTTATCCTAGTAATAGTTAATATATAAATGTAATCTCTAATTAAAGTACTAATTAATAATCTCTATTTATTTGTTTATTTGAGGGTAATTAGCTATTAAGAGCTTAAGCTTTATATTAATTCTTATATAGAATTTGCTTCAAAAATCGGATACGAATTAGGGTCCCCGATCTAATATAATTATTTCTGAAATGCCTATTTAATATATTATATAAAGTAAAAATAGAGGTACTAGTTACTTGGCTATAATTATATCTCATATGGGAATTATAATTAGATACTTGAATAAGTAATCTATAAATATAGTAATTATATTATAACCCGATTTACTTTCTGGGCAGCTTTTAAAATTTACGGTAATATGTTATTAGGGGTAATTAGGAACTAGAAGAGAATAAAGTAAATTAGGCTTCTTATCTCTGGGCATATATAATCTCCTATAAATATAATAATTACTATAATATTAATTAATATCCTTACCTATAAATAGCCAGTAATATTATTTCTTTAGTAATTAATAGAGCTTTATATATTCAGGATATTTAGAAAGAAGTTTATTATATACTTCACGGATTAGGGCAGTCCATAAAAGTAATTCGGGAGTTATTTCATTCTCCGTAATATAAAGTCTTCTATAGTATAAAAGAAGGCCGTCTTATAATATCCAGATATTACTTTTAGCTTGGGCTATTATATATAGCTCCTCTAGATCCGGTAATATATAATTATCCTATAGGATCTTGTCTATAAATTATAAACTATTATACTCGGCAAGAGCTTCTAATAATACTTCTATAGGGGCTACTATAGCAGAGTCTACTAGTAAAGCTTCTAAGAAAATACCTTCTTCTAGGGGAATTATGCCTCTAATAGGGATATTTTCTTCCGGAAAGTCTTTAGTATATACTTGGTTTTTAGGGCCGAATTCTGGATTAAGTAAGCCGACTTTATAAAGTATTACTACAAGCTATAAGTTATAAATAATCTCCGGATTAATCTTATTTTTAGGAAGAAGTACTTGGGTTTATAGCTTCTTTTTAATCTAGCCCTAAGTATTTACTTTATCTTATCTTTATAATAAAGTATCTGCTCGCTTATTTGATTTTCTAGAATAATATATAAGCTTAAAGTAATAGCGGGATAAAAGCTTAGCCTATCTCGTTTATTAAGAAAAAAGCTTCTTAGTAATTATAAAGTACTCTAAGGTACAGTAATTAGAATAGACCTTAAAAGAAGTATTCTAAAGGCTCTCTAGCTTAGCTCTCTATTTCTCTAGTACTCATATTATAGCAAGCATTTCCTTATTATATATATTATAATTAAGCTTTACTAGGAGTATAATTTTAGAAAAATAAGCTATAGGATATTAAAGGCCTGTTTCCGGGTCTTATTAAAAGAGTAAGCTAGTAACTACTTCTTTAAATATATCTATTTCTACTATTATAGGCAGATCTGGATTATAGTATTATAGAACTAGAATAGAAATCATAGCTTTCTTTAAGTAGATAAAAGCTTCTCGATATTACTCGAACTACTTAAAGGAAATCCCCTTTTTTATAAGTAAGGTAAGAGATCTAGTAATTCGCCCATACTCTCTAATAAAGCATTTATAAAAGTTATAAAAGCCGAGGAAAAACTATATGCCCTTAATTATCTTTAGGGATTACTAGTTACATATTACCTTAACTTTATCGGGATCTATTTTAATACTAGATATAGAGATAATAAAACCCAAGTACTTTATATATATAACTTTAAATTCCGATTTCTTAATATTTACTTAGAGGCTAGTAAGGCATAAATAGTCTAGTACTTTTTATATATACTATTTGTATTCTACTAGGTTCTCTAAGTAAATAAGAATATTATTAAGGTATACTATATAAAAGTTATTTAGATACTTAAAAAGTATATTATTTATATAATATTAATATATAGCCGGGCTATTTATTAGGCCTTCCCAGAGAATATTATATTTATATACTTTATAGCGGGTACGGAATATTATTAGCTCCTAAGAGTCCGGGTCTATAGCTATATAATAGAAAGCTTAGCAAATATCTAATTTAGTATAGATCTTGGCCTTAAATAATTAACTTAAAGTCTTATTAATAAGTAAAAGGAAATATTAATTCTTTTAGGTAATATTATTCAGGCGGCGGAAATTAATATAGAAGTATAAATCTCCGTTTACTTTCTTTATAAAAAGAACTAGTAAAGTAAAGAGAGCCTAACTAGCTTTAATAAAGTCCTTAGCCAGATTATCTTTTAAGAAACGCTTGATTTCTAGAAGTTCTTAAGTAAATTACTACTAGAGGAGTTAATATCTAATTACTCTTGGTTCCCTTTAGGCCTTTAATCTGAATCTTATAATTATATAATTTATAGGAAGGAAGAATATTAGATTTCTTCTTTGAGAAAATAGAGGCATATTTCTTAAGTTCCGGAGGTAATATTCTCTATAGCTACTAAAGCTTTATTTCTCCTAGTTATTAATTCTCTAGGCCAGGAATAGCTTTTTTTTTCCGAGCTTTAAGCTCCTTATTAATCTCATAGATAGAGATTCGACTAATAATATTATCTTTTCTCTTGGCTATATAATTAAATACTATAGAGATAAGAATAGCTAGGTCTAATATTTGCTCTTTATTAAGGATCTCTTCTTATTTCTTTGGCTTTTACTTGGATATTATATCTTAATTAGGCTATAGAAGCTTCTTCTCTATAGTCTTATATGATTTCCTCTAATTAGTCCGAAAAGAGAAAGACTGCTTGAGAATAGAAGGTTTCTAGAAATAGCTTATAATAGAATCTCATTAATTAATGTCTTTTTAATACTTCTTATTAGGTTACTTCTCTAGCTATTACTAGAAAGTACTAATAATATAACCGAATTATGCAGATTTAGGCTTATTCTTTAGCTATATAAGCCTGCGTCTTCTATAGTTAACTAGAACATTAATATATACTACCTATTTTCTATTAAGAATAATATCGTAATTTCTAAGGTTTAGGATAATTATAGATATATTAATGCTTTATTTATTAATTAGAAATAAGACTTCTATATATTTCTTAGTAAACTTAGCTAGCTTTCTATTAAAACCGCATATAATATAGGGTAAAGGAAGGAATTATAGTTCTATTCCTAAGAATTACTCTATAAGCTAAGTAAGCTTTATATTAATAAAAGCATAACTATTAGCTCTAGTATTAATAAGGGAAGAAGACTTAATTCCTAATTCATTTATACTAATAATATAGGGCATTATAAGAATATTTCTTCCTATTAGATAAGTCAAGTTAATCTCTACTAAATTCATATTATAAGCCCCTAAAATAGAGACTTTCTTTAGGAATACTTGTTTTTTGGTCTCATTTTAGAATCAGAGTTTGAATTCTCCAAATACTTTACTAGAATAATATATTCCGATAAAATAGGAACTAAGCCTGGCTTAATTCTAGAAAGAGTTACCTTAGTTTCCTTACTATATAGAACCGGATAGTATCTAATATAATAGCCGAACTTATTATAGTTATAGTACCTAATAATTAAGAGATCTTTAGTCTTTATAAGACATTACTTGCGCTTATAAGGGGGTACGTACTTAATAAGAGTAGTTAATATAGGCTCCTTAGGCTCCTCCTTAGAAGTATACTTCTTAGGAATATACGGGAATATAGTACTAGAAGTAAACTTAGCTAGAATAGCTCTTACCTTCTTATACTCTTTAGTCTTCTTATATATAACCTTAATTTACTAGTTATTAGTAATATAATACTAAGTAAAGCAAGTAGTATTAATAGAAGAATTATTATAGTATATATATACTAATTTCTGGAGCTTTAGTAAAAGCTTCTTATTTAGTTTATACTTAATATCTTAAAGACTAATACCGCCTTCTATAGATAGTCGCAAGAAGAAAGTATAGAACTCCTGAAATACTTAACTAGAGCATATTTAAAGCTTACTAAAGTCGCGGCAAGTATTCTATATCTTATTAAGATTAGAGAATAGCTTCTTTAAATAGAAGTAGAACTCTGAGAGCTAATAGTACTAATTCGGACTATCTTTATTTATATGAGAGTTAGTTAAGGCAAGAGTATTACCGGTAAGTCTACTAGAAATATAGATAATCTTGAGATTCTCTAAGAAATATAAATTAGTATTTTCTTATAGCTTATTCTTAATCTAAACTAGCTAGTTATTAAAGATAGTATAATCTCTAGTAAAGAGAGTTAGATCTGGGAGCTTAGTAATTCTAGTACCTCTAAAGAAAGCATAAGATATAGGGAATCCTGGACGAGAATAAGCAGGAAATAGTTCGGAATTCTTTTGAGAGGAATTTAGAGTAGCTAGAGCGGGAGTAGCTAGAGCTATTATAAACCGATTTACTATAGCCATATAGTATTTGACTTTATTCTCGAGCTTAGTATTATAGAGCTTAGTATTCTCGAGAATAGCTTTATTATAACTATAGGTATTCTTATATAAAATAGCTCTTTAGACATTTTCCTAGTAGCTCTTTATAATAATATTAATATCTGAGAGCAAGGTATTAGGTTTCTTGGCCTATTTATATAACTCTCTAGTAGTAATATGATTATTAGTTTCCAAGAGCTTTATAATAAAAGCAAAAGGTTCTATTTCCATAGACTTATTTATAAATTCTCTAGGAACGCTAACGGGACATTCGGTTTAGGAAGGGCCGCTAATAGAATAACCTAAACTAGCAGGAGCTTTACTAGAGGCCTTGGCTAAAGTTAATATAGTTCCTGGTTACGTAATATCCTGGGATATTGACTTATTATACTTTTCCTCTACCGTATTCTCCCTAGTAATCTCATTACTGGCGTATATATAGGGCCTACGAGGTTATAGGATAGGGCTTGAGGGTAATAGTCAGGTTACTAGCCTATGTGTGCCTATTACTCTAGGACTTGGTTAAAGAATAGCCTTTATTTGAGGTTCTTTAATTTTCGGGTTTTTAGGGGAAGTTTCTAACATACTACTAGTATATGTTTATAAAGATATAAATACCTGATTTCTCTAAGGGTTCTAAAGCTTTTTGCTTTTATTATTCTGGAGTCTATTACTCTTATTTCTGAGGTTCCGTTATCTTGGCAGCGCCTATATTACTAATAGTTCTGAATTAGTTTATTTAAAATCCTCTATAGGATTAAAGGAAGTAAGCTTTGAATACTATTACGGGTATAGTATTCAGGGCTTGGAAAGTAAGGTAAAAGGTCCCTTATAAAGACAATTTAAAGCTAAGGAAGGGAAAACTAGAATACAGGAGGCTGCGAGAGAGTATATGTACCCCATAGTGCGCTAGTCCCGAAGGGGCTTAGCCTTCTAAATATTTCTAGTACATTCCAAGCCTATTTCCCTAGTGAGGCGGCCGCGTCACGTGTGTCTAGGAGGCAACGGGACATGGGCAACGGGATATGGGTAACTATATTAGCTAACCATGTTAGCTAACGAAGTCGAAAGCTGAATCGTAATATCTTTTATAATTAATTATAAAGTTTCTATTTCTAAGATTTCTACTAATAAAGTTTTTAAAAAGCTAACTTCTTATTTAAATATATCTTTTAGTTTAGAAACCGGAATTTAAAAGAAACTAATTAATAATAATAAATATAATCTAGATTTAAATTTTAATATTAGTAATAATAAGATAATAGCTTTTCTAATCTTATTTCTATTACTTATATTCTCTTTTCTATTTTATTAATTTAATATTTATAATATTTTCTTTTAATTTCATTAAACTAGATATATTTAATAATATTATTAAAAGTAATAATAAAAATAATAAAAATAATTTTACTAATTATTTGACTTTTTTAAATTTTCTTCTTTATTTTTATTTAGTATTCTTTTCTTTTTCTAGAAGCTTCTTTAGATTATCTATATAATTTCTTATTTTCGATTTCTTTTTAATTTTTATTTCCGGTTTCTATTTATTATTTTACTTAAAATTACAGATATTTTCTCTTTTAAATATCTTTTTTAAACTTATAAATAAGCCTTTTTATTAAAACTAATACTACTTTTATTCCGGTTTTTTTTATAATTAAAAATAATATATAAATTAATAGTATAATTTTATTTCTAAATACTAAAGTCTAATTTATATTATTTTAATATAATATTTCTTATTTTATTTCCTCTATTTCTTCTTCTTTTATAATTAGTTTCTATTTCTATTATTTCTATATATTATACTAATAATTATATTTTATAACTAACTTATATTTAAATTATTATATATATTAGAAATTAATATAAGATACTAAAATTAATATTTATATATTTTTAATATTTTAGCTTTAGGCTTAAAGTATTATAATAGCCTTTTTTCTTCTAAATTTACTAAATTAATAATCCGCCTTATAAAAATCTTTTAAAACTTTATAAAAATATTACCTTAATTATAAAATTTCGATTTTTCTTATATTACTTATTATAAAATATTTAGAAAAGAAACTATAATAAAACAAAAACCTATATAAAGTATACTAGAATATAAAATATAACTTAATAATAAAATAATGAAATTAAAAATATAAATAATAAAGTATAAATAATATATAATATATAAAAGTTTAATTAATTAAAAATAAAAAATAAATTATTCTCTAGAATTATAGAAAAACTAGCTTTTTTATATAATTCTTGCAAGTTATATATAAAAGGCTATAGCTTTTATTATATAACTAAAACCTTAAAACTATTAAAATAATATAATTTTAAAAAAATATAACTTATTA